AGATATATATGATTATGAACACTTACAAAGTTATTAATTTAAGTTTTGGAGCAATCGCGAGAATCTAATTTAAATGATTTGTTTTAAAATCAAGTCATTGATTTGTAATATGATAGAAAAGAAAATAATAAATACCTGAGCAGTATTTAATATTCTAGAGTCGTAGCATCAGATGATAAAAATGATCATTTATTTATTGAAGAAACCTAAAAAATAAAATATGAATACCTTCGAATGTCATTAAAGCTAGGCGGAACAAATCTACGAGCAGCAATTGAATGTTTAGCATTAGCTAAAAGAAAAGACTTGCGTAATGGCAATTCAGTATGAAATGTTGATACTGATGGAACAAGTCGTTTGAGTCGGGATTGTTCAGGAACACCTTTATTGATAAACGGATAAATATTGAAACGAAAATTTATTTTATACAGTTTTGGTAAAATTTACCTTTCAATTCTTTTATCCTATGTTCCTAAATTATATATTTAATAAATAAGATAAAGTGTAGTTTTTTTTTAAAAAAAACAATTTCTTTATTAACATACATTTATCAATTCTTCAATACTTGATAATATATCACAATATCTAGTCACATTTGCGTCCATATCTACGCTTATGTCATCTTTATCAGTTGAGTCACCTTTTGGTGGAATTGGTTTTGCATGCAAAACAAATGGTGTCATAAGCATTCCCTACTTATTGACGTTTTATAAGTATTCAAGATAAAACTTCGTTGCCTAAAAGTATAACATTTATAAAGAGAAATTTTTTTTTACCTTTATAAATTCTATAAAAGGATCGCGCTTATGTGCTCTTAGCGCATAATTGATCTTAAATAGAATCGTAAATCATATTAATTGAAAACAGCCACTTTATTGAAAGAACAGAACGAATTTTCGAAATTTACCGTATACGTCGAAGTCATTTTTTGTGTAAAATATATAAAAAAAAAGAACTGGAATGGTATAAATATATATATTTAAAAAAAACTGGTTAAAAAAAATTAAATATATACTAAAAAAGACTTAAATAGTTAAATTATTTCCCACGATTACAAATACGTATGTTATCATTGTACAAACCGTTAAAGCCGGGTACCCAATCACCATCATCATTGATAAGCATAGGTTTATGCTATGCAACGTTTCAACTGCAACGCGTGAGCCCGTTTACATCCCTATCTAAAATTTTACATTTGTAAATTTTTCTTTCACCGATATTTTGAAAATTTTCATGTTTTAGAGGTGTAAACTTCGTTCTGAATGATGATATTCACATCTCCAGCTTTTGATTTCAACCTTTTGTCTGAATTGATAATGAGATCATGATAGAATCATTCTTACAGTTTCAATTTTGTCTTTTTGCTTTTGTTTGTCATGAACAAAGTTGTATATTATAACGATTGGCATATAATTTAAAAATTTGATAAATTTTTTAGTAGTAATTTTTAGCATTTTAGATCTAAGTAAACAAAGAATAAAAAAAAAAATACTGTATTATAAATGTTTATTGGAATTTAATGAGATTATTCAAATTCTAAAAAGTTCTCGAGATCCTTTGATTTTAGTTAAAAATTTTAATTTTAAAAAAAATTATTATTTTTTAAAGAGTTACATAGTAAAATTTATAAAAACATATTTCTGTAAATAAAAAATATTGCATACTTTTTGTATTAAGCTATTCTATATAAATTTTACAATGTTTTATTATGCAAAATTCTAAGTTACAAAAAATAAATTTTTTTTAAAATTAAAATCTTTAATTAAATTTCAATAAACATTATAATACAGTTCAGAAATGCGTCGCCATATAAAAGTTTTATTTATTTTTTTTGTTCTTTGTTTACTTAGATCTAAAATGCTAAAATTTTTAAATTATAAAACTTTGTTTATTAAGCAAAGACCGGTTTATAATTGTGATTATTGAAATTCCGGTGATTACTATCAGGGGAGAGGTATTGCATATAATCGTAAGGTTAATGGCATAAAAGACGTTGTGTAGGCCACTAAAAAAAGAAAAGTGTATAGTATATGTATATGTATACCAATTTTTTTTTTAAAAAAGCGTATAATATATATATATGTATAATAAACTTTTGAGTCGATTATACTAGTTTGTATAGATATGTATATATTTTATTGAATGGCTTACTTTAGGGTGACTTGTTCACGTGATATGCAATAATTAATTTAGTCAGGGTCAGGAGTTAATCACTTTAGTATTGATATGTAAACTACCCAAATTAATTTGATCGATTTAACTATGATGTAATCGATGTAATAAATTACTAATGGGTCGTGAATACGTAATAATAAAATCAAGAGGAAAGTAATCGGTACATAATTATGACATTGAGTGGATTGCAGAAAAAAATTTATTTTCAAATCAATATGTACTTAACGTACAAGAAAAAAAAGAGAAAAAATATTATTATTCATCTAACCTTTAAACAGGCTTTTTACCCCAACAATAATGGTTACATTGCAGTATATATTTAATTAAGCATAAATTATCTTTATTTACTATTCCTTATAAAAGAATGTTTATTCTTCATGGCCACCAAGACCATGTTCATACTCTTTAATAGCGTTAGAAATTCATAATTCTCTTAATTTTTCTTTGTGTTCTGCAATCATCAACAAACGCTCCTCATATTCTAATTTTTCCACCATTGTCATGCCAGATTCTTTGGATTCATTATTATCTGGGCTTATTTCTTGAGATGTATCAATAGTTAAATCGATTACTTTTGATATTCGCTATTTTTTATTTTGTCTTTTTGTTGAAGAACTAGCCTTAGATTGTTGTTTAGCTATTATTATATATAAAATAAATACAATTAATAATAAATACTATATGAATAAATTTAAATTAATATTTTAAAATAAAAAAATAATTAACTGCTTCGTTTAATTGACATTTTTTTTCTTGCAATGCCACCTTTATCTTGATCACTTGTACTAATATTGTAATTGGCTTTTATATCAATTTTTTTAAAATTGCATATATCTAAATTTTTCTCTCTAAATAATAATAATAATAATAATAATAAATAATATAAATATATACTGTAATATATTAATATAAGCAAACCTTAGTATTACTGTCATCAATTTAAGTTGTTTGCCTTCCAGATTACTCATAGCATGTGCCACTTCTGCACAATTTGTATTATTTGGTGCTGCATACCACAAATCATGTGGAATTTTTGAGATATTTGGATTAAGCAATGCAATAATATAGGGTCTTTTATAATATTGAACCCAATCTATTTTATAGAATTTTTAATTAGAATAAAAAATAAAATCAATTAATAGTTTATAAAATTTACCTGTAAGATCTTTATCAAATATTAATAATTCATTAAATATTTGATCTACTTCTTTAGCTTTTGCAGTTAACAACAATTCCATTTTAGCTTTAATATCATTATTGAATCTTTTTTCATACAATTTTCTATATAAATATAAATTATTTATATATATTTAAATAAATATAATATACTATCATTACTATTAACTTACCATTTATAATGCACTTGACATAATTTAAATATATGAATTAAATGTTCCTCCCATGTAAAAGAATTATTAATTAAGGATAATGCTTCACCTAATCTGGTAAGTTGAGCCATATCAAGGTCACCAATAATGCAATACTATCCTTTTTCATAAATGTGATTAAACTTTGGTAATTCACCAGTAAATTGTTTAACAAGGTCAAACAATGCTTCAAACATATAGCGATATACAATAGTAGTTGCTTGGTTTGTAAAAATCTGAGCAAAAGTTAAAACTAATATATAGATAAAATTTAATATTATAAAATCTAATATAGATTATAGTATATATAGTAAAAATATTTACTTGTATTATACTTTTTATCATAATAATTTATTTCGAATTCATCAATTTCTCCAGCAACTCTTTTAAATGATAGATCGATTTCGAAATAATTACATTTAACCCATTTTTGTATTTGAACTTGAGAAGTACAAATAATCATTATATGTCCATCATTAAAAAAATCTAAAGCGAATAAATAATTAGACAAGTAAAATTTTAAATTTAAAATCTAATAATGTATTTTAATACTTATTTAATCGTTGAACATAATCATGAAAATTATTAATATTTTGTGAAAAATTGTATACAACTCCTAGTAAATCTTGACCAAAAGGATGCTTTTTCCTTTGAATTTTATTTATACACTGCCGTAATTTATTTGCATCATTAAGTGATGCATGAGCTTCACATAAATTATCAACACCAAAATAGGTCTTGATTAAATTGCCTAAAATAAATTAAAATATATAATTAAATGAAAATATATATTTATTGTAAAAATATATATAATAAAATTTAATTTTACCTGTTACTATATGAGTAGGCGTTACATCCAATAAATCTTCATTAGCTTGTTTAACAAGTGCTTGCAATCTTTGCTTAATATAATTTGGAGTTCGTGCAAGAGGTGGCGGTGGATGTGTATGTAATCCTTTACATATCAGAATTACAAATGGACATGCTTTGAGATCTAATGGTATAATTTTATAAAACTCAACTTCACATAATTTTTTTTTTTATTTGACCACAGCATATTTTGTTTCCTGATCGATGAGGATAAGCTAATAGTAAAATATAAAATATATATTAGAAAAAATATAATTATTATATATTATTTATAATACTTACGGCAATATTTTTTTCTAGATGAATTAGAAAATACAACATAGCATTCATTTGTAGATTCATTACTAATAGGGTTAGACTATAAATAATTAAAGTTAATTAAATAATATAGTTTAATAAATAAATCAATTAATTAATTAATATACCTCATAAGTGCCATTAAATAAGTTACGCAAAAGCTCAATATTAATATCAGAAGAAATATGCATAAAACGATGATATTTTTCTCCTATTTTCCAATTAGCACATCCAATAAAATAGGTAGATTCAAAATGATCCCGGCATGATAAGCGGCGTAAAACAGATTTGCCTTCACATAATTGATTATTTTTTTGAAACTTGTAAGGTGTTTCAATAGCGGCAAGATAAAGTCTAAAAATTTAACTTCTTGTTATTATACAGTATAATAGTATTATAAGACACTTTAATTTTTATTACTTACTCAAAGGTGTTATTATCTATATTACTAGATGAAATTTCTTGAGTTAGTCGCATCATAAGGTCAGAATTCATGTTGACATATTGATGTGTTTGATTATGCAATTCATGTGCGGCAAATTCACAAAGTTTTGAACCTTGACAGGTTCGCATTTCACGTTTTACTTCAACACCAAGATAAGGGCACATAACTTTATATTCACCACCGGGCTTGCCAATTGAATATTGAATCTAAAAATAACAATTTTATAAAATATATAGTAAGATATAATAATCATAATAAATAACACATAATTAAATAAAATAAAACTTCTAACATCTTTGAATGCAGCTAATGGTTCATCCCAACCCTCAACATTATACACATAAGCAACGCCTTCTAAACTTGTTTCAGGGTATTCTATAGGCGTTAAAGTATGATAAACAACCTTCGATGCTAATTCCTTAGTAAAATATATAGTTTTGTCTTCATCTAAATCACTTGCAATATCATCGATTTCTTGATGTTCATCATCAGAAGAAACTAATACACTTGTATTTTCGAAGGATTCTAAATCTTCTTCATAAATAGTTTCAATCTCATCAATAATGTAAAAATCAGTGTCATTACTAGTATTAGGATCATCGATAGTTTGAAAGTTAAGATCGTCCATTTCAAGAAACAATTACGAAGAATATACATTTTACACAACATACACACGCACATACAATATCATACGATTATTCAAAATATTTCGGCATTATTAAACTGCAAAACTATTACATAATAAATTTTATGCCGAATGCTTGATATATAATTCTACAGTATCACGGCTTTGTTTGAAATACCGCCTTCTTTAATAAATATAGTTCTTAAAATCATGTGCATCAATTTTCCCTTTTACTTACGCATATTTATCAATTCATTTTTTTTACTTTTACATTATATAATAATTACATCATTCTCTATGTTAGCTTTCTTTCGCCACCTTATACCTTTTAATTAATCATTAATTTATCAGCATCACGCTATACTATGCACCCGATCATCTATATTTCCCATATCACGTGAAATGTTCGCTTTACATTTTTTTCGCACAGGTATAATCATTCATACTTACAAGTATGATCACCCTCATACTTATTATACTTATAAGTATGGCCATCTTTTCTACTTATAAGTTTGATAAGTATGATTATTAAATATACGTATGAGTATAAGAACTTAAAGCTGTCCTACGTTACTATTCTGATGCTTCCTACTATACTACTTTATATATTACTCCAGGGGAGTGTACGTACGTACATGTACACACTACATATACATATATCATAGTGCATTGTGTCCTTCACGAAGGAAGGTCAAATAAACATTTTCGGAAAGTGGGAATTCACAATTATTTTCCGTAAATTGACTATAAAAATCCTCGAATTAGCTAGTTTGATCCCATATTTGTTTTTCTAGTATTTTTATTGGATCTTGATTATTGTCCTTCATTCAACTTCGAAGTCTAAGAAGAACAATGTTTTGTTTATATAAAGAGTATTTATTAGTGCTTCTCCTTTAAACTAAGTTGATTATTGTGAAGTTCTTTACTCCATATTAGTATCTGTTACTAAGGTTGCCGGCCGTAAGTAATAATTACGGACATTACGGTACAACCAATGCCCAAAGTTGTAATGTGTCGTATTGCTTAGAGATGGAACTTTTATATCTGACGATCTAGATAATCCGAATATTGTATACATATCCGGTTTATCCGAATATCTGTCAGAGTTAGTCACGGACAGATAAGCAGATATGGATAAGCTGAACGGATAGACAGATCTTTTTTCTATGCTTACAAAGTATAGCATGAAAAATAAAAATAGTAACGTAGTAAAATTTTATACTTTTATACTCATGTGTTTTGATAATTAGACCTATCATACTTATGATTCACTGGTCGAAATAAAGCATATCGGACAAGTATCATAGCTTTTTTAGCACTGTTTGAGTTATTAGTAAAATTATAAGAGCTATCAGGTTTCTGACATCTAACCAATAGCTCTATTAGCTCTGATATGAGCCTGGAATGACACGATTCAAGCCATTACAGCATTAATCAATGCAATATCGAGGCTAAAAAAGTTATGATATTTGCCCGATAGGCCTTATTTCGACTAATGGGTATAAAGTGAATCATACTTATAACCATAAAATACTTACAGGTATGTTGGATGATCGACTATTAATGATGTCGAGACAATTACATATATCAAGTATTTCGGCATTAATATTAGCATATAATATTTTTTAATTTAATACCATCAAAATATTTTTAACAAAGTGACGATATTAAAGTTTTTATAATGTAACTTACGTAGGATACTTTCGCAATTTTTAAATAATTAAAGGTAACTAAGATTCAGCCTGAATATAAGAATCTAATTCATAAAAATAAAAATTTTTAGTGAACATGTCTACAACCCAAAACTACAAGTACAAAATGAAATTTATGTACCTATGGGTACATCTAAGTTAACTCCAAAAGCAGTTCCAACATATTCATTAAAAGAATGAATCTAAGTTGAAGTGCTTTTTTGACCTTTTGAGACTATACTAGATGTTTCAGGTTGAAGTGCTTTCTTGATTTTTGAGACCATACTGTGCTATTTCAGGTTGAAGTGCTTTTGTGATCTTTGAGACCATACTAATTGTTCCAAGTTGAAGTATTTTCTTGAACTTTAAGACTATGATAGCTATTTCCAGGTTGAAATGCTTTTTTATCTTCAGGAGTATATGCACTTTTTTGATTTCAGAACTATGCGTCATTGGGGTGTGCGATTTATTATATAAATCAAAACTATCATATAAAAGTCTATTGTCGAATTTTTTAGATAGCGAAGTGATTTTAAATATAATAACGATAATTATTAAAATTTTAAATAGATGCACAACACTAACGGTTCGATAATATCAGATGAAATTTCGCTGAGACATGCAGTATGTCTCTACAAGAAAAGCTATAGAGCAATTTCTTTTTTTTCAAACATGAAAAACTTTTAATCTATTATTTTTTCCTTAAAAAATGGCAAAAAGTAAAGACTTAATTTATTTTATTTTTTAAAGAAATGGCTCTATAGCTTTGTTTGTAAAGACATAATAATGTTGGTCTTTGCAAAATTTCATCTGATACTATCTAACCGTTAGGGCTGTGCATCTATTTGAAATTCCAATAATAATCGTTATTATATTTAAAATCACTTCGCTATCTAAAAAAATTTGATAATAGACTTTTATATGATACCATACATAGTACATCGCACGCCCCAATGCGTCATGCTCAATGTCTAAGCATTCCCCTTTTCATATTTATAAGAATCTTAACATAAAAGCTTGAAACCAAAGATGCTTCCTAAAGGAAGAAAATGTTAATCAAACTGTTTATAACCCAAAATACAAACACAGAAGCATATATTTCCAGAACAGCTCACCAAAGGAAGTTTTAACAATGATTAGAATGTAGCTAGTGATTTGAACCGAGAAAATTTTCCTTAATCGGTTAACCGAATCGAACTATTTCATTCAACCGAATATCTCTACTATCTTCGGAAACTCTCAGAGTTCTGCTCAAATTTTGATCTTAACCTTGCTCGTCTTTTATGTTCACTTTCTTTTCAGAACTTTTCGGAACCTTTACTCTCTTTACTCTCTCCTTACGTCGTTTTCATACTATATCGACCCGCCAACTTATTACCCAATTCTATCCGGTTGTACCGGGTCAACCGATTAAAGAATTTCCTCAACCGGTTAACTGAAATTTATTCGGTTCGTGTAGATTAACCGATTATAGCCCAACCGATTCAAGTCACTAAATATAACACATAAACACGCACTGCATGACAAAGTTTATTATCCGAAGGACATTACAGTACGATTATTCTGTTATCTCACACGAAGTACATCTTTAATAAGAACATTTTAAACACGTCAATTAATAAAAGTAAATGAGACAAAAGAGAAATCATGAATTTTCTAATGGCTATAGTTAGAACTAGGTACAAAAGCCTAAATAAAGTATTTATAGACATCAAAAAGTTCTAATAAGTTTAATACAGGTGAAAGTAATAAATAGCTATAGTCATACAAGCATTGCAGTAGAATTTTAAAGAGTTTCTATGATAATCGTAAAAACTCCAGTTAGCGCTATTAATTTGACAAATTTTATCTGTTGAAGTTTGATTCTGTAAAATATGAAAATTAATCAAATTTCACTCCCCTCTATACAACCCTATAATGTTGAATGAATAATTATTGCTTATCTATAGTTCATGCTTATTTATATTACAATCTATTATTTGGTTGTTACAAATGCTGCTAGAATTGATATTTTTAAACAATATATGTATTAAAGTTTTGTAGGGAAGATGTTGTTTCAACATTATGTTTTCCATCGAAACTTTTTGTTATGTTTTTCGCAGAAGTTTCTAGTGATTCTGCTATTTTGGACATTTCTTTCCAATCTTCATATGTAAATGAAGGGCTTGCAACGACATGAGGAATATCTGTTTGTACACGATCAATTTCAGGTGAAGCAACTTCATAAGATTCGACAAGACCAAGCTCTGTTTTCCTTTCATGCAATGGTGTTCCTCTTAATAACATCAATGGAAAAGCATGAATGACTGGAACTTTGTGATTGAAACAAAAATCAATGCTCTTTTTGAATGATGTAATTGTTTGTTCAGGTAGGCCAAAGATAAGAGAGACTTCGGTCTTAATATTTCTCTCTCGTACCTGAGTTAAAACTTTCTCAACAATTTTCATATTATTTGGCCTATCTATTATTGCTTGCTCTTTAGAATTAGTAGTTTGTAAACCAAACTCTAATACTGTTTCTGCGGTATCATTTAATTGAACAACTCTATCTAAAAACTCTTTTTTTATCATTTCAATCCTACACTGGAGTGCAAGTTTTCCTCGATATTTTTCCTTTATTAATTTATCCATGATATCAAGATAATAAGGTCCAGAATTAAATGTTGGATCAAGAACTGCAACATCTTGAATGTTCGAATGTTTTGCTATCCACTCTGCTTCTTGAATAACACGTGACATGGGAAATTGACGACGTTTCATTGACACATCAGATTCTCTATGTTGACAAAAAGCACAGCGGAATGGGCATCCTCGTTGAGTTTCCCATCGAATAAAGCGTTGTGGTGAAATAAATTTATTTAAAAAAGGTGAAGGTAAAGTATCTAATTCTGTTACAGCTGAAAGTCCTAAATCTGGGTTTCCAAAATAATGAATTCCTTTAATACAGGGAAAAGGTTTTTTTAGATAACATTAATTTCACTAGTGCATTTTCTGCATATCCACGAATAAAAATATCTGCGTAAGGGTAATATTCTTCTATTCCTTTCTTAACATAACTCACTTGAGGACCACCAAGAATTACTTTCCCTGGAAACTTATGTTTCTTTAATTTTTTTAATATATGTTGTACCGCTTGTTCATTCCAGACAAATGCTCCTATTGCAACATCTATACAAGGATTAGCATACATCATGATAAATTCTACCACATCATCAGGTAAAAAGTTTGGTACATTTACTGACCACGAACGAGAAAAAAACATCAATGTTATGATGTCTTAAACTAGCTAATATAGATGCATGACCAAGAGATAAGGGTGGATCTTTTGGGCGAGTCCAATCTAAAGAAATTAATATTAACTTCCTTTGTGTTACTGTTTGAAATTCTTCTCGATTAAGAACTATTCCTTTTCTTGCGGATAAACAATTAAATTTTCGCTTTAATAAGGCAAGCAAAGGATGCTCAACAATAAACGGATTTATAACTTTTGGTTTTCTGGCTAAAACCCAAGATGATAAAACTAACATTACAAGGAATAATATTGTATATTTCATTATGATAAAGTTTGGCTCTTATACACCTCAACTTTTGTCACACGAAACCTAATATGTTCTTTCAAAATCTTTATCCACATCTTGCTGAACGCCCTGGTGATTTCCAAATAGTTCAGCCCGACTTCTGTCATTGTTTCTCTTTATATCTTGATCAACAGTACATGATTGCGTTCTCGTATTTGGCTGTAATACTCTGGCGTCATTTATGAAAATGGTCACCTATCTAAAGAAGAAGATCACCCTATAAAAAAAGGCGATCCGTGTTTTATATTCCATTTTCGTAAATGTTGCATATTCGTGGAAGTTATAACTTAATCATGAATGTTCTCTCTCTGTCATTGTTTCTCTTTATAACTTGATCAACAGTACATTATTGCATTCTCGTATTTGGCTGTAATACTCTGGCGTCATTTGTGAAAATGATCACCTATCTAAAGAAGACGTTTATTCACCCTATAAAAAAAGGCGTTCCGTGTTTTATATTCCGTGTTTTTTCCGTAAATGTTGCATATTCGTGGAAGTTATAACATAAATCATGACTTGATTGGATTTTATTGATCATGTTGCAGATTCACGGAGTTTTCACAAAAAATATGTGATAAATATTAGGATAGAATTTCTTACAGGGTCAGAGAGCGGAAAACTAAGTCCGGTAACACGTGACTAGTTATAGATGCGATAGAAACTATTTCTTCTTATGCCATAACTAGCAGAATCTTTAACTAAGCCTTAAAAGTTTCTACATATATTTGGCCGAGACAGTAGATTTACCAAACAAATCAAACTAATCTCGCTTAGTCGGTATAGTACAATCTTGCTAAGTTCTTACCCGGCTCGTGTATTCAGTTCGTGTACTCAGAACAGAGTATCGCCCCAAAAACCAGGTATTGTTACGTTTAAAACCTAAAACATAAGCCGTTTGTTTTTGTGGCTAAATTTGTGCACACTGTCGTATTTTTCTTGAGCAATACTTGAAATTTCAAATACGTATTATTTATTCGCCGCAACGACGGGAATAAGAGGCAAACCTCCGGCCCTACATTGCCGGAGTTATTTCCGGTATTAGGAGATATAGATGTTATTCTTCGTTTTATATGATACAGTCATACCTGAGTTATATCTCCACTGGGTTATATCCCCTCTTGTTTATTCCCTTAGTTATATCCCCATATTTAGACAGAATAAATTTCTTTTTTTTATATATTTTATATATTGAGTTATATCTCAAC